CATCAATTATATTGATATGTGTATTACAATTAGTGTACCTATAATTCAATTCTATATTTGTTTTGATATGAACTAATATAATGATATTGTTATTATTTAGTTATTGAAACCAGGGTCTATCGTTGTATGTGATAACCAGCTGTTGACCATCAAGACCAATGATACTTCGTTCTGCCCTCTTTTCTACACGCAGAAATGGATAGAAAAAAGTATACAGGATAAGGAAAATCAAAAGTTGATCCGCAATAATAAATGATAAAGTATATTATTATAACTTATCCGGAAGTAACAGTTTAAAAGAAAGATTTATTTATTTGGTTTTTTCCTTTTTTGAATATGATATTTGTTTCAGGACTACTAAAATTGACAGACTTTAAGACATACTCGTGCATTATTTCACAAAATTCATTCTCCAGAGAATAATACTATAATTATTTAGAACTTGTTAATTTCAAGTTCAATTATAAGTTGTTTTATTATTGAGTTATAACTTGTAATTATTATTGTAGACATAAGATAAAATCGTTTAATTTTCCATATTGTAATTTTGTTGTTTACGTAACATAATATGGCGATTAATTTTATGGTAGACTTATACATACTAATCTTTTATGTTACCCTCTATCCCCGGGACCGTGAATTCAATAATTTCGTTAGTATAAAGGATAAACATTTCCTAAATCCTCCCACGAAAAAAATATAAAATTTGGTGAGTATTTTCGAAGTTCGTTTTCGTCAAGATTCTAATGAATAGAACAATCTGATTTCCTGTTACTGCTACTTATATTTTCCGTAGAAAATATACTGTTAGACTGCGACGATTTTCCGAAATAGATGATCTTTCCTATTCCAGGTCTATTTAAAGAAAAATTATGAACATTTGCATTAAAATAACTGTATTTTAGTGACGAAGCTCTAATATTCACAGGTATGTATTCAATATAGTATTCTGTCAAAATGTTTTACCTACACACTGTTGTCTTGATTGCATCGAAATACGATAAACGCGTATACATATTGAAATAACACATACTACATGCTAATTCACTAGAAAATCACTCGTTTTTCCCTTCTTTATTATGTAGGGAATTATGACACTTTATATTATTTGTTATTTTTAAATAAAAATCAAAAATTTTAGTATGTTACAATTTTAGAGTTGATTATAAAAGCGGTACTTTGTTTCCGCTTGAGTATATAATGTTGGTTACATTGTATATATATATTACGAGTTTAATTAAATATTTGAGAAACTCTTTTATCTTGCCTATTTGTTCTTTATATGGTCTCCAGCCCTCCACAGCTTATTATCCGGGTCTGACTACACATACGGTACAAAAGTCTATTGAAATGCTTTGAGTATCTTTTAGAACATTGCTTACATAATTTAACAATTTTATTACATTTTTAAACCAATGGAAAAATTAACATCATTGAAAATGTTAATAAAATAATTTTTCGACACTTCCATAATGAGTTGTATATTTTAAGAAATTATTAAAAAAGATGCAACAGCTATTCTGTAAACTGTCTATCAATTTTAGCCACATTTTAGCAATAAACACTGAATAAAACGGTGCATTTGGAAATACATTTCACTATTTTCCAATAAACTAAAACAATCTTTCAGTGGTTTAAATACGTCCCTTGCCTTATAATAATCTCAAATAGTATAGTTATATATTATCTCGCTGGATTACAAGAAAATGTCTCCTTTAGACTTGCATCTGGACAGACGGATTTTTTTTTTCCGATCATACCTATGCTTAACTTACCCTACTAAACATATACTAAACAAACTTAACATTACATATTGTACATAAAAAACTTATCCTATAACATAAGAATGTGTATTTTTATTTTCTAACTTAACCTATGGTTTCCAATAGAAGGAACTAGAATGGTTATAATAATATGCAATGCGCAAGCGTATATTGCTTCGAATATATTCCAACTGTTATCGAAGATGCCCGATGATTGTGCGACTCATTTTATCTTGATAATATCAAAGGGAAATCATTTCTTGCTGTAGTTTAGTCGAGGACGGTAGTCGAAACAGTGAACATGAACTCTACAAAAATCTGCAGTTTGGGTAATCGAATAAAACCAACGAACGAGCAGTTTACAGAAATTGCTGGATACAAATACTCTTTCTCCTATAACAGATCTGTTTCGCGATAATAAAATGCTTATTAAGANAATTTAATTTACGAAAATTTAATTTTCTAAATTCGTTTTTGGCCGAAGCGGAGTAAAAGCAAAATTACCTTATCGTTTGGACACTACGAACAAAATGGGCCAACGAATTGTATAAGTTATTAAAAAGGAAGCTTTGGAAATTATAAATAAAAAAGATAAAAACCCTGTAGCTATTCCGTACATGTTAAGGTTATATAGTGTCGGCGTTTGGATAAATACCGGACAAGTCGGAATTAGTCATAATTGGAATAAAACAAATACGTCACAGAAACAAAGTTCGTTACATATTGCATTCTATTCATATTTGCATCTATTAATATAGATTTAAATTATAAGATAAAAATTAAGATGGATTGAATTAAAACTACTCCTAGTAAAAATAAAGAAAAACGGGTTTTTTGTGTGTAATAATGTATAATATATGTATAAATATTTTGTATTGTTAAAATTAATAAATAAGTATTTACCTAAATAAATTTTGTCTTTTATTTAAAAAAAAAAAACTCTTCCATTAAGGTTATATAAATTTAGCATAATACTTAAAAGTAGTTGAAACTGGGTAGCTGAAATTGTAGTAAGGTTAATTTTACATAATATCTGTTCCATACTCAAAAAATGTTACCACCCACCTTGTCACTTGTTCTATAAGATGAACAAATGATTATTCTTAAGCATAATTTTGATCACTTATATACCCATTTCGTTCATTAAACGGGCTCAAATTTATACGTCTTCAATCAGAATTCTGCCATATTTTTCCCAAACTAAACTGAACATACATTAAATATTGCACAAGTTAATATTGAATGTCGTTTAAATTTAACGTTAGTTTCCATGTGTATTCCATATTTTCAAACCTTGTAAATGGACGGAAACTAATAATGTAACCACTCTTATTAATGACGAAACCCCCTTCTCATGCCACACAAAATATGTGATAATAACCTATAATTGGTGAATGTGTATTAATAACGAATCAAACAGATTAACATCATTAGGCATTAAATTTACCGCTTGATCAACTTTAGATTCACTAAGCGCGAAATAACCCAAACGTAGTGCGTATGCAATAATAGTTTCCATGATAGCTACAATAACATCTATCAGCTTTTGTACAACGGAAACTAATAAATATACGTAATATCCAAATATAAAGGGTCCAAAACAATTTGTTACGTTACTCTTCAATATTAAAATTAAGTATTCATAAAGATTTATTCAAATTTTATTAAGATGTTTATATTTCAACTGAGCAATTAAATCAGTTGTTTTTCCTCAGCCATAATATCTAATTATGTTGTCGTATTAAAGAAATGAAATTGTATAATTGCTAATAAACACACTTTTTAAGCCTTACTGTGAAAACGATAACCATTTGTAATCATTAAGACGATACACAGTATTATACGAATCTTAATAACTACAACTTTTTCTTTTCAATCGGATTTTGATTCAGGGTGACACAAATGTAGAGAAAAATCAATTATTTAAACACTTAAAAAAAAAAAAAAATTATTTGTTCACTTTTTAAATTTTCAGAATAGCAAATTTGTTAAACATATAAAAATATGAATGTATCATATAATTATATCTGATTAACAGTTTCTTTATATTAGCCGTTTTAATATCTAGAGAAAGGTTTGAAAACCGAAACTAACTCGTTCTGCGAAAGCCAACCACAGTAGTAATACAAAGTAAAAAAAAACATTTAAATCATTAAAAAACTAATGAACGGATAAAGAAGTGTAATACATTGGAAATTTGGAATAAAAAATTTTACGAAAAGGCTATTTAAAGAATTTAAAAAAATTAATACAAATTTAAAAAAAAAAATTATTTTTTCCAGAGATTTAGAAATGAAAATAAAAATGTTATTTTCTTTACATTTGTATCCTCCTGACACAAAACCCGATTAAAAAACATATGTTAATAAAAAAATTAAATATTCACAGAATTATTAGCGTTCATAAAACCATACAAGACACTTCGTATATAATTAATTGCATATTAAAATACCTATATTATAATATAATAGATAATTTATGTAAAAAAAAACTAATGTTATTGATGGATGTGCTACTGTTATATTTAAAAGAAAATTTGGGAAGGGAATAGATACAAACGTTTTTTAATTTTAATTTGTACGTTATGATAGAACAATGCTTACGAAAAACGATTCAGAGTGAAGGTCGATTATAAATGTTATGAAAAGCAGTAATTTTGAACAAGAAATAATATTATACATTATATTAAAACAATGCTACATATAACTCATTTTTTGTTTCACATTTGTTATAAAAACTACTTGGAACATCAAAAAACGACTACTTACAAGAGAATATAGTTTTAAAATTTAACAAGGTTACTTATTGTTTTTTGATTTTAACAATATTTCCTGAACAAAACATAAATGTAAAAATTAAAAACAATGAAATAGGTAATGTTTAGGCAATTTCGCAGTTTTTTCGAAAATTTCTTTTCCGGTTTTTCCTAATTACTATGTAAGCCACCTGAAAATCAACACATCATCTCCCTAAATCACTAACTAACTACAAAATCCTTTCAGATAACATAATATCCTTGACACAACAAAACCAAATTTTTGATTGAGCTAAAGTTAGATTCAGTCATTTAAAGGAATTTTGGTAGGAGGGGAGTAGTGGTGCACTAATAACACGCCGCGACACTTATACACCGTACGCTTACAAATAATTACTTTTTACTCTATTATTATAATTTACATTTTTATATTTTCTATTTTATTTCTATAGTAATATGCTTTTTACACCAAAAATACTACCAGCCTTAGAACAACCAGATTTTAGAGTATAATGATTGAAATGTTTATACGCGTAAAACTTACGTAACGTTTATGTCAATATTAAACCAAATACAGAAAATACAATTTTCAAAAATAAATATTGCGTATTTCTTTTTACAAAATCGGAACACTTGTAGTTCATGAAAAACACACATATATCATATAGGAAAAATATTTAGCACAAAGATAAATAAAATATTCTAATTTTATTGNAATAATTTATAAACTGTTTTAATTTTTCATATTTTTCATTTAAATAATATTTAGAAAATATTTATTAAATATGGATGTCTACGGGATTTTCGATTATAAAATATTTAAAAAATGATATTTTTCGATAATTATTTTTTTAATAAAAAAAATGCAAACAAACGGAATTTTGTAACTTGCTACAGTAGGGTATTGATTGAACACGATACCCTGTTTATTCTAACCTAACGCCATATCCAATAACTACCTAACTAATTAGTAAGAAGTTGATTTTATGACTATATAAGTAAATTTCAAAATATTATAAGTAACTAGAGTGACATCTCGAAATTGCTGTTTTTCCGGGAACAGGAACTTTAACCTCCTCTATATAGTTCACACCAGTGCTGGTATGCCGGTGGGGACGGTGGGGGGGCGTACCCCATATTTTTTAATTATCGGTTATTTCCGTGTATTTTCTCGTTCAACAAAATATAAAAACTCATATAATTATTATAAGTGACCCCTCCAAATAAATCAAATTAAAACATTCACAATATAATTATTTAGATTTTAAGTATATTGTGATCATGTATTCAGAATTTTATTTTATTATTTTATTACAAATGTCACATAATTAATATGTCAAAAATTTTATTTCAACAATTCGTTTATAACAATTTAGGAATAATTTGTTCAGAATATTCTATAATTATTTAATTTATGATGGTATATTAACAATAAAGTTCTCAAAATATGTATTTAAAATCATTTTTTCGATGAAAAATTGATATTAATAAAATATTGCCATTACGGATATGCTATCATGGTTTATTCCCGAAAAACTTAAACCGTGCATAAACGATATAATATAGGTTACTGGTTAGTAATCACTGATTTTGGTCATTAACATGTACATTACATTACATGTAACGTGTAATAGAAAATATTAAACTTATATCTTTTAATCTAAAAGTTAGCCATTATCCGAAGTTTGAAAATCACTATACTGTTCAGTATACGTATTAACGAAAGACATCCTTCCTAAATGACATTATGTAATTATAGCAATTCTATGTTTCTAATGTTACTAATTATTAATCATAAATCAACTACTTATATCAGTGAAGTGTCGATCGGTTTAGCCGTTTTTGCTTATAAGTTGTAATGAAATTCCTTACAAATAAAATTCAACTTCAAACGTGGTGGAAAATGTCATAACTTAAACGAGCTTTACAGTTTGAATTGGCGAAGTCAGACGTAAAGCAAAACAACTTTTAACGCAGATATTAGGACCATGGCTAAGGGTATGTCATCTAAATATTGAAGGTAGAGATATGAGAGGTATGAGGTATGAGAGAGGAAAAAGTTGATGTTATTGCCCTCCAGGAAACGCATACATTAGATGAAGCCGACCTCCA